CCGGAGCTACTGACGTCGAACTAACAAAGGGCAGTTGTGTTTGAGTGGCCGTTATAGACATAGTTTTCAATATTATTACTTTCGTCTTATTTATATTATTTATAACTTAACTTGTTTTATTCAACGACCCGTCTATCACCAATTGTCATCATAGTCAACCAACTCCGTCTCACTTGGATATACCTACTAACCAACTGTACTAGGATTCAGGTCAGACGTATTGTACATTACATATAACTTATATTTACTAAACATCTAAAATATAACTTTACTTTGTCGTTGACATAAAACAATAGTCTAATTTTATTTAATAATCTATCCCCTGTAACTAAGGTACACGATTGCCTGTGTCTCCTTCAAGCAATTAAAACTCATTTAAGGAGATAGGGACGATATTTGGGCAGACGTCGTGTAACTTCCGATTCTTAGTTTTGACTAAAATCCTCAACTATTAAACAAGCCCCTAACAGAACAAATTNTATGATAATGTTTTATTAATACGAACAAAATAACTATTCTTATAAATAATTATTGTTCAAGACAAGAAAAAAAAATATTATATTGATAAATATATCATAGGTTTAATAGTAATGATATATTTATCAAATTGATCAATGAGTTTATTATATAGATCAAGGTTTTTCTCTGGGTGTAGTGTAGTATATGAATATAGGGACATCTGTTGCAGATGATGAATTCAATATGATTTCAAAAACACTTATTAATACAATTTCAAAAATGTGATGTATACACGGTAAATAAAAAATATCACACCCCAACATTTGCTACAATAATATGCAGGTACTTTTAAGTCTACCTGTATTAAAAGCTGTTGTATCACAACATAATGATTTTACTTTTTCAGTTAAACCCCATTTTTGAATTGCTACAAAGATAGCTGCTGCTTGACCTTCCCCGAACCAGAAGAAATTTCAGGCACATCAAGTAAATTGTCTAAATTATTATTATATGACACAAATTTTTTTCATTCTATTTTCACGTAAACGTTTTCGAAAGTTATTAATTGAGATTTTATTTATAATTAATTCAGATGTATTGAGACTAAATGATTCTGCAGTTGCTATTAATATAAGAACAGCGTCTCTGTCGCTAATTTTGCACTCATCAAATGCAGTGACCAGTTTATCAGTTAATATATTCTTTGTAACTCTAAAATTGGAAATTATAGTTTTTTCAATTAATTCTTCAGTCACATCAAACTCGCTAGAACTGTTTGAAGACGAACACAACATTTCTGAGTTAACGACTTAATCTGTAATAATAAACACGTAAACTTACTACTTTGAATATATTTTAAGACATTTTTACAATTACCCAACATTCCATTTCACCATATGTTTTTCTTTTTCTTTGAGCAATATTTATATTTTACTTTTGTTGATTTTGAATTCATATTTTTCATTGAAATTATCGTCATGTAACATACAACCTGACCTTCCCTCTGAAACAATAAAAATTGTTTATCAACTTCCATTTTTAATTAAGTTTTGACACGGTACCGCGCTGCGCTCCAGACTGGCGCTTATCCGCATCTCTCTCGATATAAGCCGTCCACCTATTAATATGATAATCGATTGGCATCTCCCTCTACGCTAATTAATATGTATTACGAATTAAGTAAATGAAAATAAAACGTGTAAAATATAAGTGGTAAAACATAGTAATAAATGTTCTTACAATATAATATTTATATATATATATATATTGTGTGGTGATCACCGTAATGACTGCATTACAGGTTAGTTTAAAGCATCAGAATGAACAATACCAGATAAGTCATCAAGTTTATTAACAAACTCTTCTTAATTTTTTATATCTGATGATGACTTTTTAGTCGCGTGTTTTTGTAGTTTCATCCATTCATAGTATAATGATTCAATTTTTTTTTTACGTAGTGACATTTTTTTTCTACAGTATTCGGATTATAAAATAAATCAAGTTATAGTTTCTTCAAAGGTAAAAATAGAATATTTGCAAATTAATTTTTGTTAGGCTAAGTAACAATTTTTCAAAAGTTTTTGTAGATATTTTTTTATAGAAAAATATTACATTAATAAAAAAAAATTTTATAAACTTTTTCATTAAAGTTAATGTTTTTAAGATGAAACTTTGAGGTAAGAAACTACCCTTGGGTATTATTTTTAACCCTTTTGGGCACGGCATAAGTGGAACAATCATCACCAAATTTTACAAAATTATATTTTTTGGGTACTCAATCAATTATAGGGTAATGGCACTTATATTATTAAAAAAAAACCTATCAATGTAGGATACGGTCACCCTAATATATATATAATTTATGTATATTTAATGTTTTTTTTCTATTACGCTTTTCTCATTGTTATAAAAATTGATCATGTAAAACAAACAATTTTTATTATTGAACTTACAAGGTATAAAGATGGTTTTACTTGACGCATAAGCCCCAAATGTCGCACAACTCGTTTTTAACATCATCAAATTATATAATGTCGTGATATGCTTAATACTTTGCATTACGCATCTCACAATTATCAATAAAGAAAGTATAATCTGTATTTTAAATAACTTGTAAACAAACAAATAATTTATCTGTCATAACAAATACAATGTTCAACACAATTTCTTATTATATACATATATGTCAACTCATCTATTATTAACTATGCTATCAATATAATTATCATGTAATGTATACTTTAAAACAATAAAATATAATCATGAATAACACAAACGGCAATATCCCTGGATATGGGGGTACCTTTTTAGTACTATAAAAAGTACTGATATCCATTGAAAAACCCAGAGAGACAGAGAGCCACGGCTACGGCTAAGGCCAGAGCCACAGCTCCAGTAAGCTAGTTATTTGCTACAAACTACTCTTGCTATTACATTTTGATCACGGCCCCGTGCTGCCGTTTGAGTTATTTTATTTTATTTACTTTATTTATGTTTAAAACTTATTTTGATCTATAAAGACATTATTACCATAAACAAATAATATTGAGTAAAAATTGGCATTTCTGGTAAATACTTCATTTATCTTCTTGGACATTACAAAATACGAAGGTAAGTCAATTTATATTATTCCATTTATTTAAAGTTAATAATCTGAGTAAAGAACGATAAAGCAATAGATCTATAATCTCCTTTTAATATCAAGAGCTATTTTGCTAGTTTGTTCACACCTGCTACATATACACATTACAGGGTCTCGAGGGTCGGATTACCGCCCCGTGCCTAAAAAGAGTTTAAAAACCTAATGTGTATCTGATTATATTAATAGACACTTCGACTGGGTATTCGAGGGTCGGATTACCGCCCCGTTAACTCAGTGTCCTATTAAAGGTGTTTACAAATTTATTAGCTCATATTCCTCAAGAAAGATGGTTTTACTTGACGCATAAGCCCCAAATTTCGCACAACTCGTTTTTAACATCATCAAATTATATAAGAAAAGACAAAAAATGATTTTTTAGTGTTTTATTGTAATTTAATTAATATATAATTTCTAATTAATAATTATTTCAGAAACTAAATATGATGGAAAAGAAATTGGACGGATTTGGAATCAGCGTCGAAATGCCATAAAGAATTTACTAAAATATTGTACAATATTATAGAACACTTTTTTAATATTTATTATATAATTCTTATATAATTTTTACAAAATAAATATTTTTAATTAAATAAAGTACATTTAGTAATAATGCTCCATCTTGATGTGTTCCGCAGCTTCTGTATTTTCAGACAATACAAGTATTTGAAATTCTTTCGTCGGATCGTAGTTCTCTTCGATAATCATATCATCTTCATGAAGTTTCGTTGGCAAAACTTTTCTTTCGCTACTCAAATCTGTAATCAAATGTTCATAAGGCAAGTCGCAAAGATTCGTAACTTTCTTTAATTCAATAACTTCGTTAATGTATGTATCACAACACGCCCGCACTTCATCTGTGCTTTGACATTTTTGAGAAACATAATCGTACAAAGGATTTCCTAAATCTTTAATAAAATCTTCATCATTATTCTCTAAAATTCTTTTACCCAAAATTTTTAATAATCCCTCAAAAATACCATTAAATTTATTTTGACAAGCTGTAATCAAAAATGATTAAAATATTAAAAGCCTTAATATAATAACTATTTATTATATTACAATAAATCTTCTATTCTAATATTTATTAAATATTTAGTTTGAATAACATTAATTTTTAGAGATTATGTTTACTTGAATTGTACATAAAAAATGGCATACCGATTGAGTAGAAGTTAAAAAAATAGTTCAATTTCAATATATGTAGAAAAGTTAACTTACTTATGATTTCATTACTTCTCAAACCACAATTTTTGAAACAATTGAATAACTGCTCCTTTGCATAGTGAAGTGGGTCATCTGATTTTACCTGTAAAACTATTATTAGTCACTGGACTATTCAGTACTACATTATTATCATTAAATATATGTAACATGAATTAGGAAAGCAGGAAAAAGTTTGAAAAGGTCAATGTCAAATTAATTAATTATTAGAGTTCTTTTAAAATTTAAATCTGTAATGTTGAAATGTTACTATACTCTAATTGACTAATGAATAAATTTAAGTTATAATATAATATTTAGTTTATAAATATAGAAAAATTCAATTTAGAAAGTCTTGATATAAAATCCGCAAAATAAACTGTCATTTATTCATAAAAACGTTTTTTTAATATAATTGTATAAGATTAATTCATCATGTTACAATTTTACTCACAAGTGTTAAAAAGAAAAAGAAATAAAAATATTTCATAAACATCATTCTTCTGTCGATCTTAACTTATAAATTAATACTAGAAAAATATATTTAACGTAATAGACAATTTTGCTATTTAAGAGTTTTTTACCTTTTAAAATTATATTAAATCAAATAATGAACAAATATAAATAATAATTGTTCAAATGAAACTACATCTGTATTTGTCATATATGAATTATTTAAAAAATTATTAAGTACAAATTTCTGCTAACAATAATTCAAATTAATAATAATATATTTAAAATGTGTATAACGGTTGGATTTTTATATATTTAAATACTTCTAGAACTTTTTTAAAATATTGGTAGTTTTGAATAATTTAATTGAAATGATAATGTAATAACAAAAAAACAATAGATGGCTTTTGCCATTCATCCTGCACAGAGATATGCTTAAGGTTGCTTGGACTGAATTGCATTTGGTTATGTTCATACTAAAATAATAATTATTAGCTCTAATAACTGTTTATAGGTCTGATTGAAATAAAACTACAACCGTTCTTTAATATTCAAATTTGGAATTAATACCTGGAAAGACTTTATGTAAAACATGTTTAAAACGTTTGAAATATTCTACTGATTACTTAAACATGAGTGTATGAGTCTATAGAAGATAATTTAGAAACAAAAAATAACGCTTGTAACAATTTAGGTATATCACCTATTTTATTAAAACACTTAACTATAACTCGCCGACCAGTTATTGAAAAAAAAAAAGCTGAAGCTATAAGTACTACAGTAAAATAAATTTTTTTCTTGGCTTATGAAATTCCTTCTTCTTCTTCCAATAGCACACATTTTACTTCTAACGGCAATATGTCGTTAACGAGTATGATAGTTTGATAAATAACTTAAAAATAAAATTTAATGAAACTAGACAACACATTTAACGAATTTTAATTCTGTTCCCTAAATCTTTGTCGGTTTCAAAAATTTGTGAAGAGTTTGGTGTCACAGAATACTTTGTGAAAAAGGTAAAAAAATTAGTCCATGTTCATGGTGTTTTATCTGACATTGTCGTTCAAAAACCTGGTCCAGTAATTGATTTGAAAGTAGTTAAAAATGTTGATGACTTTTGTCATATTAATGATTATAGCAGAGTATGTCCCGGTATGAAAGACGTCATTAATGCAAGAAATGCTGATGGTAAAAAAAATGTAATATGCTCAATGCTTTGCATTACGCATCTTACAATTATCAATGTAAAATGTATAATCTATATTTTAAATAACTTGTAAACAAACAAATAATTTATCTGTCATAACAAATACGATGTTCAACACAATTTCTTATTATTTATATATATATATGTCAATTTATTAATTGTTAAATATGTTATCTCAATATAATAATCATGTAATGTATAATTAAATAAAATAAACTAAAAAGATCACTAAAAGCGCTGACAACAATATCCCTGGATTGGGGGTACTATTATTTTACTATAAAAAGCACAGAAATCCTTTCAGACTCCAAGGAGTGACAGCGAGCGAGAGAGTTCGTTTTCTCCGAATTGAAATAAGAATAAAAAGAAACAATTATCAGTCACAGCCTTGTGTTGTTGTCGACTGACTTTTACGCGTTTTATTTATATATGAAAAGAACTTGTTTTAATTATCTATCTCTTGAAGAAGTGTGAATTATATACTTTTAAACATATATAAACATATCGAGATATTTATCAAATCATTTTACAGCAATTTGCAAGAATAAAAAAGTTCAGTAATTTTATGTTATCCCAATTATTTGGAGTTAATACATTTGAGTAAAGGATGACAAAGCAATAGATCATTAAATTAATATCTTAAAGGGTCAATTTTGACTGGTTGGTTAAAGAAGTTTGTAATAGATATTTAGCACTTATAATTTTATTTTATTTATATTTTTATAATAATGATTTTTTTAATAAACCGCATTATAATGAGAGATGATAGATATAAAAACACCAATACATGTATGAAATATTAACGCAAATTATTAGAACAATATATTGCGCATAGATCTCTCTAAATTAATTAACTAGCCAATGAGAAGCATTGTGCAAATTAAACTAATTCTCCCCCTCATAAAACAGGCCTATAAAAGAGCAATTTCTAGCTCATTCGTCACCTTATTTTTTTCTAAAAATCTGGTCATGAAGCGTCTCTGCACCAGACTGTTTCGCGATTGTGCTCTCTTG